GTGGAAGTCAGCTAGTCTATCATCCTCTGGATTTCTGCTGTCACATCTAAGGTCAGATCCATCTCTCGAAGCTGGGAATGCTGTGCCAGCAGGTCTCAGTCACTCCTGGGACAGAAGCCCGGCAAACCTCGGAGCGGTCGAGGAGAGCAGCCCTGTCTTGTGCTGTCCACAACCTCCAACAGCAGCCCGGGCAGACAGAGAGGTACCACCTGCCCTGCACGTACCCCGGCCAGTCTGGAGGCACGCAGTCCCAGCAACAACTTCTAGCTGCAGTTAAATTATGCCCACTGAAACGATCATGCAATAACCTCTGATAAAGAGGGACAGCACGACTCTGGGATTCGGAGGGACCACACGAAGAGGCGCTGAGCCCCCAGGGCTCTGTCTGGGCGCACAAAGGACACACACACAGCACTCTGATTCACGCTGGACGCACGCAGACGCTCACAAGCGACCGAGCAAAAAGCCTTCTTGGCATTGTTTCCAAAACAATCTCAATCCAGCGCTCCCATGTCAGCCGGAGCGCCGGACAATCGGTACTTACCAGAGGGTTCGCTCTGCCTGTCTGCAGCCGGAGTCAGGACGGGGTGTATTCGACTCAGAGGGAAGGTGCATGGAGATGTGCAGAGAGGTTCTCCTGCCAGTGAGGCCTGGGTGGGTGGGAGGAAGGGCCCCCAGCCCCTCTTTGGGCCCCAGAGGCAGCAACACTTGTTCAGGGGATGGAGCGCAAAAAGGCTGGCATTCCTACAGCAAGGACAATGGGGAGGGATGAGGAGGCGCTGCCATAATCAAATGCAGGCCAGCTGGCCCTCCCCCAGGAAGGGCAGGCACCTCCTTCACTTGCCAAAGGCTTTGTTTTCTAAGCCACAAAGAACAAAGTGACTGGAGAGTGAGAGGAGGAGGAGGAGGGCGGAGGAGAACCGGCTGTGGGGGCAGATCCACACGTGAGCGCAGGTAACCCACTCCGCCAGAGATGTCAACACGGATGGAAACGGGTCGGGCAGCATTCTGCCCGCTCCAAGCGGAGCTCGGAAGGAGCAGGTCCCTGCACGCAGCAGAAGGACGCCAGGGACAGCTGGAGACCACTGCTGAGGAACCAGAATCAGCACAGGCTGGTGGCCAAGGGACTTCTGAGGGAAGGGATCCGAGGGTGGCAGACAGAGAACGTCACTGAAGGAACGGCTCATGGAGCAGAGCCCAAAGAAATGCCCAGCAAAGGAAACGCTCCCATTTCTTGACCAGCCTCACCGCACTGATCCTGAGCAGCAGGACTCTGAACAGCTTCCCTCCGAAAGCAAATGCGAGGCGAGGGCCCAAGCTGCCAGAGCCTCCCTGGCCATGGCGGAGCGACGCCCACCCTTTCCCTGAGCACCAAGAGAGGCCATGTCTTGCACAACATCCTGACAAGCAGGAAAAAGCCCCTGGGGCCGCCTCAGGCCCTGCTGTAATGACACAGGGAGTTCAGCTGTGAGGCCCTGGGCACCGCACGGCTGCAGGGTATGCAGGTGCTGAGCCAGTGCGATGGGACTCTGCCCTTTCCAGTTGGGTCAGTGCTTTCTTCCAACAGTGTGACTTCTGCCAGCAAATATCACCAACCTTTGCTACCGACCTTCCGCAGGACCGGTTGTCATCCCAGGGCCAGCAGAGACCGTGCTGTGTGCTCCGACTCGTTAGACATGCCACGGCAAGTTAGGCAGCTGCAGTCCTGACAGGGTGCACAGCTCTCATGTGGGCCATGTCAAGCCTGTGGACACTTGGCTCACAGTAGAGTCAAGAGTAGGGAATGTAAGACCGAGCTGGGAAATAATTTTACCCAGAGAATGCTCAAGCAAGGAAAAAAAACGTGAAGGCTAACAAGGTAAGCAAGGAGAAGGAGATGTGCTCTAGCTCCTGGTGTGCCCAGGACAGGGAGCGAGAGAAGCAGACGGATGACCAGCCTTGCAGGCTCTCCAGAATGAAGCAGACATCAGCGCTTTTGGTACAACGTACACCCTTGCTTGCTCAGCTTCCCAGTGCTTCTCCCAAAGCATGGTGTGGAGCCAGATCCCAACACAGTCTTGGAATTGAGTAAACAAGAGACAGTGGCCAGAGCAGGCTCGAAGCCACAGGAAGATGGCAGGTCCCCGAGTATGCCCACGCTGAGTTTGTGGTACTGAAAAACAATCTTCCACCCGCAGTTAGAGATGGGGAAGGCAGCTTCCTTCCCTGCTCCTCCAGCCACCATCCAGCCCTCATCAGGCACCAAGAGCTCCTGCCACAAAGGAAGTGGGGACAAATGGAAACATCCAGCTTGGCATCAGTCATGGCTTTGTGGAGGGAAACATGCCAGCCCATGTGCAAGCTCCATGTGGTCTGGCCTGGCTCAGCGTGCCTCATCACAGGGAGCTCTGATGGGCCATCAGGAGCTGCCAAGCAGTGAGAAGACACAGTACAGGGTCCTGATGGACCATATGGGGTTGTGCTGTCCTGTCCAGCAGCCACAAGCAGCACCCTACGAAACACCTGTCTGCCACATGCAGAAGAAGGCCCAGCAGAACAGAACCTCCCATTCCCAGTGGACAGGGAGCTACATGAGGCATGAATACCATGATCCTTGTGGTGGGCACTCCGCTCCCTTGGCGCATGCTGAGCTGTTTGGAGGCATGTGAGCTTGCCAGCTCATTACCATAGCGTACATTGCTTACGCATTCTCAGGCTTCTTCCCCAAATCCTGGGGTCTGGCACGCTGCAAGCTCTTTACAAGAAGGAAAATCAAGGACATTGCTTAGTTCAGACTCCTGCTGTTGATCCCCTCAGATACGAGGGAAGAGAGAAGGGGGTTAGGCAGGCACTGACAAGATCACTGCAGAAAGGTCAAAGCAGCTCAGCATCAGAAGAGAGTGAAATCAGTTCAGATAACATCTTCTGCTTTCCCCCCCACCTCCCAGACCACACCACTGACTCCGCACTGGGAAGGCAGAAAACATTCTGCAGATCAAGATCAAAATAAGTGGCGTTGAAAGAACTTTCATGCTGCGCAGCAATTTCTGCACTCATCCTACAGCTGCAGGACTTATCTCCTCCACATCCCTGGTTTCGGTTGGCCACCGGTTCACAAGACACACGTGTTATATTTACACCACCAGCATTGTTTACAGTTCTACTGAAACCAGTGAGGTCAAATTCCTCCTCCCTCACTAAGCGAGGCACCTCTCCTCCACACCAAAGCAGCGAGCAGACACACCGTGCCACCATCATTCTGTTTTCACTGGGGCTGCACAGCGTGACAGGCACAGCCAAGAGGGACTCCGCTGCCGAGGGCTGCGTCCCCCAACTGTCATCCCCCAAAAAGCAGCTGTGTGAGCAGTGCTATGATGCCCTAAGAAAAGGAATGGGCTTTCATTGGGGTCTGCGTAGGATTTGCGCCCCTAGGAATCACCCAGGCTTTGGAAAGGCTTTGAAGATGTGGAAGAACACCCATTGCTGTCGAGCCATGTCTGACTACTCTGGTAGCCCAAGACCTACTACTGTGATGTAGTTTCCGTGTCTGAACGGAGAACAGAGCAGCCATCAGGCGCTACAGTCCATGTCTGTGCTCCAGAGATCTCCAGCTTTGGCTGGGTAGGTTCATACAGGACTGATATTTGGCGTGGCCAGATTTGCCAGGATGCTGAGCAAGACCTGGCACCTTTGCGTGCCTCAGTTTATCAGAAGAAATATGACAACAACCATCCTTCCCAGGATCCTTCCCAGGATCCCTCCATGCTGGCAACAGGCGTTCAAGGACCGGAGCAGCCCCTGAATGTCCGTGCTCAATGAGTGAGCAGAGCACAGGTTCTTGCCGTTCTCCTATGGCACAGAAGGCACTTATCTCTCCACTGGGGGGAAAAAAATTAAAAATTGCATATTCCCACAGCGGGAGCATCTCCCACCTGCACAGCAAACCACACAGATGAGCTACAGCAGACCTCCAGAGCATCACAAAACAAACTCAGTCCCTCATGTGTCCTGACAGCAATGGTCTGGGCTGCCTTCTCCACTTTCCTCCCTCGCACAGGATGCCTGATGTCTTCATGTTTAGCTGAACTCCCTCTCCCCTCCCCGAGCACTTCTGGCTGCCAAGGCAGCTCGGAGACAGCCCGTAAGTGGCACCTACATCTGGTACAACTTAACTTTTAGCGTCTATTCTTTCTGGAATTTGAGAACTTCAATACCCAATGTTTGTACAAGTGGGGAATAAATGGAGTACAGACTCCCTGGCATTCTGTGCTTGCCAAAGCTGTATTTTAAAACGCACTTAGAAAATCCTACTGTTTATTCATTCGCAACTTCAGAAATTAAAGGACACCAAATCCGACTGCCGGTCTGCTGAATGGGTGCGTTTGCATTACGCCAAACAGGTGAGAAGGCCAAGCACTCAGCTCAGTCACCACATGCATCCTCTCCTGCTTCTCAGATGCCTGGGCCAACCCAGTCCCCTTGTTCCCTCAGCCACACTTCCCAGCACCCCGTTTCCTCGCACGGGCCCCCACAAGAGAGGAGCTGGGCTATACTCAGCGCTGAATAGTGGGGGGCTGCTCCTGATGTGTCAACAGGCTGAAAGTACCGGTGTGTGAGGACACCCTAGGAGCAAAACGCAGGCAGCCTGCCCTGGCCTGATGACCAACACTGGACACAAGCAGCCAATCTCTTGGCCCTCGATGTCTGAGCTAGCGCTGCCACCATCCTTCTGTCCACTGCAGCCACGAGAGGGGCCTACAAGCTCCAGACAGAAGAAGACCTCTATACTTAACAGATGCAGATATTTTCTTGAACACACACCCATCCCTTCATCCACATTGACTTGAAAAAAAAATCACTGCAGACACATGAGCATAAAGAGGGCTTTTGCAGGTCATAGATCCAACTCCCTGTTGCTGCACACATACTACATCTCACATCTTTCATAAACAACCAAGCTATGGACTGAGTCCAAGCAGGCTTTTTACGTCCTCCTCCGTGCAGCAGATGCCTTGTCTTACCTTGTCAAAGAATTCATACAGCCTGACCGTCTCACAGATTCGATGCCTGTTTTCATCCAGTTGGGTGCAGAACTCTTCCAGTTGATCTTTGTAGGTGTCCAGCTTTACCCTGTAAGAATGTACATCCACAGAGGAGAAGTCTTCCCATCGATCCATCTTCTTTAGTGCTTCCTGCCCTCTTCTGCAATATTCCTGAAAGCAAAATGCAATTGCATATGAGGATAGAGACCTGACCTAGACAGTAGATAGTCTTCAAGGTCATTAACACCTAGGACTAATTAGACTGTTTTTTAATAAGCAGAGGTGTACTTGTTTACAGCAGAATTTTGGAGAGCCCTGACCTCTGTTCTGATTTACAAGAGCCACATGGCAGCTTGTAAAGGCCTACGCAGTCAGGTTACAGGACAATTAGGATCAGAAAAAGACAGTGTTACAAGCACATCAAGGGATTAACAAAAACCCTTCTTCTATCACAGTAGTTATTTTCCTCAAGACTGGCAAATGCCATCTACTGAGGGGCTGAGCTGGTGGCTTTGTCTACAAGAGGAGAGCAGGGAAGCCAAGTAGTGTGAAAGAACGACACACACCCTGGTGATGAACCCTCTCTTAGCATCATGGGTTTGGCTGAGCACATATGAGGCACATATGCTGCCAGCTCAGACTCTGGAGAGTATGTTTTTCCAATCAGACAACACTTACACTGGCAATAAGATCAAACTCCCTGAATTGCTTTTGTGCTTGAAGCAGCATCTCCAAAGAATCGTCCAGGTTGATCGTTTCCTTTAGCCGTTTTCTGCCAACATTCTCGATCCAACTGCTGACCTAGGAGAAAAGGGAAAAGCTCCTCTATTACTCACTCTGTGCTACTCACCAAGGTAGGCCTTTATGTGGAAAGAGCAAGGAACTGCTCTCATAACACTGGTCATTTCATTACTGGAAAGAATGTGCATGTACACTTCTCCTCCCATCCTGACATTTCAGCCTGAGCCTCCTGCTAGGAGTTTTTCCACTTCAGGTTACTGAGTAATTGCAAAACTCTGCTATTGCTCACTGGCCTTAGGCATAAACAGGGCAAGTAGCTGCTTGGGCTCTGGCTTGGGTGAGCCATGGTCTAACGCGAGCTCTGCAACCTGCAGGCTGGCCTGATGTTCCTGGTATTGTTACCCCCAAGTGGGATAAAATCTCCCTGCTGCCAGGTTTCCTACACCACTTCCCTTCTCTGGCTGGCAGGACACGAACTACGTCAGTGTGAAGGTACTGACGTATTCTCCCCATCTGCCATATTCCGTGGTTCCCTAGGCCTCTCCGCTGCTGGTTTTCTGAAGGCAGATCACCGTAAAGCCATGCAGTAATTGCAGGTTCCTTGACAGAGCCCAGCCACTGCCACAGTTATGAGCCTGTATCCTCCCACATGGGTAGGGAACTGACTAACAAGAGTGTTACAGAATCACAGAATGGTTTGGGTTGGGAGGGATCTTAAAGATCATCCAGTTCCAACCCCCCTGCCATGAGCAGGGACACCTACCACTAGATCAGGTTGCTCAAAGCCTCATCCAACCTGGCCTTGTCCTAGAAGCAAAGCAGACACAGGAGGCCAGGCAGGATAACACAGCATTTCCTCCAATAGTAGGTTTTAAAAACAGGCTGGTAAACTTGTCTGCAGTGCTTCAGGCACAGCTGCACCTGGGGGAAGGGACAGACTAAATGTTTCCTAACGCCCATGTGTCCTGTTTTCCATATCCCAACTCAACCTCATGGTCCAGGACAAACTCCTAGTCTTCTGGACTGAGAGAGGGTCCGTGCCCATGGAACAAGCCCACTGGCAAGAGGAGGAGACGGGGTGGGTCCCAGGTGGTGACCCATACTGCAGAGGGGCAAGCTGCTGCTGCCTAGAGCTCCCAGGCAGGCTTAAACACAGGAGCAGCTGCTGCCAGCAATTCTGCCATCATTGGTGATGTGCAAGCAAAGCCAGCTGGGAGCAGTCAGTCAGTTTGGCTCGATTCGATCAAAAAAAGTTCAGCTTAAAGCAGGGACGGGTTGCAGAGCCTGCCTTTGTGCTTTTCATTTCTGTTTGTTATTGGAAATACATGTGTTTAAGGGAGGGTTTACTAGGTTCTTGCATCACACTTCTTGACCTGAACACCCAGTGCATGGCGCCCGAGTGTCTACTTCCAAATGGGAAGTCATTAAAACTCTTGGATCCACCTTGGCCTGTGAAAACAACAGGTAAACTACAGCCTCCTTTGCAAATCCAGTTCTCTCCAGAGGAGAAGAGCCCAGAATCCTAGGAGAGCCATGGTAAAACTGGTCCTTGTACTCATCTTTAAGGATGCAGGTTCCTTAGGTGAGCACCAACCAGCACACAACCCTGCACACACACACAGGGTATTAAGTGATACAGAAAACTTCCCGCTGCTGAGAAGTTACAGTAAAGGAGACTCTGTGACTCCATAACCTCGAGGCTGAATTCAGGCTTAGGGAGCACATCTGGGATGCACCACACTGAGAGAACTGATCAGATCTTGTAGGACGCTCACAGCCTGAGCTACTTTATGGCTTTTTAAAGTTCTCTATCTACGTGGCTACGTTTCAAAGGTCTTTCTGGAAACCAGTGCCTGTTTGCTTCAGTTATCCCACGGCTGTAAAGAGTTTCGATGAGGACCACATGAAAGGAAGCTTAAGCTCCCACAGAAGTGCAGGGGGGTGGGGGGGGCTGAGCTCTTGGGCTAAGGCTGTTCCCCTGCCTGGAGACTGTAGTAGCGCTGCAGCCAGAGGCAAAAGGAACGTGCCTGGGGCTGCACCCAGAGGGGAAAGACCTTATCAAATAGCAAGGACCTGAGCACTCCACAGGAATCTCAATAAGCTCACAGCAGGGATGGGCAGCTAGCCTCATTCAGCAACAGGATGTAGGCAAACCCTGCAGGATCCACAACCCAGAGGGGACACGCGGACTCATCAGCTTGTTGCCATCGCTCTGCAGCTTCTCAAGATGGAGCATGAAGAATGGCTCCTCAACAGTCTTGCTGAGAGGGTACTTTTGCTGACCAGTGTGAAAAGACAGCCCACCTCCAAGTGTACTGCTTACCAATGAACCACTACA